TTTGCTTTCTCCCAGTTTCCCCCTTCCATCTCTGTCCAGAAGTTACATAGGTCATTTTCCACATACTGTATACTGAACACCATGATTACACTTCTTTTTTTTGTTTTGTTTTGTTTTGTTTTTGTTTTTTTGGGTCCGGTCATGGGGCCTAAACTCTAGGCCTGGGCACTGTCCCTCAGCTCTTCAGCTCAAGCCTAGCGCTCTACCACTTGAACCACAAGCGCCACTTCCGGCTTTTTTCTTTTTGCTTATGTGGTGCTGAGGAATCGAACCCAAGGCCTCTGGCATGCAAGGCAAGCGCTCTACCACTAAGCCACCTTCCCAGCCCCCATGATTACATTTCTTCACCCCTTCTTCCTTCCCATTTGGTGGTACTCCATTACTCCATCCTCTCTTCCCCCTCCCCAGCAAAAGAAAAAAAAAAAAACTCAAAGTAAAACCTACCACCACCGCCATCAACAGCAACAACAAACATGCTGCTTCTGATTATATTCATCTGATTGACATGTAGTCTGTAAATCTTCACAAATGAAGTTTCTAAGCTGGATACCAGTGGGTGATATGTATAATCCTAGCTATTCAGAAACTTGAGATCTGAGGATCATGGTTCAAAGGCTAGCCCAGGTTAGACTCTTTTCTCCAATTAGCAACCAAAAAACCAGAAGTGAAACTGTGGCTTAAGTGGTAAGAGTACTAGCCTTAAGTGAAAAAGCTAAGGGACAGCACTTAGGCCCTAAGATCAAGCCCCAGTGACAACACACATAAGAAAAAACTATTAAATTCCTTCTCCAAGCCAGGCACTAGTGGCTCACACCTGTAATCCTGGAGACTCAGGAGACTGAGATCTGAGGATTATGGTTCAAAACCAGCCAGCCTGGCCAGAAAAATCTGAGAGACTCTTATCTCCAATTAATCACCTGAAAACTGGACAGTTCCAGCTATGGCTGAGTGGTAGAGTACTAGCCTTGAGCAAAAAAAGCTTAGGGACGGTGCCCAGGCCCTGTGTTCAAGCCCCAGGACCAACAAAAACAAAAAGGTTGGGAATGTGGTTTAGTGGTAGAGTACATACCTAGCATTTGTAAAGCCCTGGGTTCAATTCCTCAGTACCACATAAACAGAAAAAGCTGCAAGTGGTGGTGTGGCTCAAGTGGTACAGTTCTAGTGAGCAAAAGAAGTTCAGAGACAGTGCTCAGGCCCTGAATTCAAGCCCTAGGACTGTCAAAAAAAAAAAAAATGCTGCTCCAGTCATTGTGACTCCAATGCTTTGAAAGAGAACATTCATCTTGGGGCATTTAATCAATACAAATGTGAGTCACTTTACAGAGCCAGGCTTAGTGGTTCACATCTGTAATCCCATCTACTCACGAGGCAGACCATAGGAGGGTTGAAGTTTGAGGTCAGCCCAGGCAGAAAAGTTCATATTACCTCCTTTTAACTAATAGCTGGGCACAGTGGCATGCACTTGTCATTTTATCTATAGCAGATAGCTTATAATAGGTAGATCTAAATCCAGGCAGGTGTCCAGGCAAAGAAAGATTCTATCTAAAAAAATAACCAGCACAGAGCCAGGCACTGGAGGCACACCTGTAATCCTAACTATTCAGGAGGCTGGGATTTGAGGATCACAGTTCAAAGCCAGCCTGAGCAGGAAAGTCTGTGAGACTGTTATCTCCAATAAACCACCAGAAAGCTGGACATGGCACTGTGGCTCAAGTGGTAGAGTGCTGGCCTTGAGCTGAAGAGCTGAGGAACAGCGCCCAAGCCCAAAGTTTAAGCCCCATGACCGACAAAAAAAAAAAAAAAAAAAGAAAAACGGAAAGAAAGAAAAGAAAAGAAATAGGAGAATCTCAGTCCAGGCCAACTTGGACTAAAAATGTAAAACCTTGCCTGAAAAATAAGCGACTCGAAAAGGATTAGAGGTGTCATTCAAAAGGTAGAGTATGTAAGTTTGAGAAACGCCTTAGCAAGCTGGCAAGACTGTGTTTCATGATACAGGTTGAGTATGCCTTTCCTGGAATGCTTGGGACCAGAAATGTTTCAGATTTCAGAGTTGTTCAGATTTTGGTATATTTTGGCTGAGTATTCCTGATCTAAAAATGTGAAATCTCGGGCTGGGAAGGTGGCTCAGTGGTAGAGTGCTTGCCTTGTATGCAGGAGGCCCTGGGTTGGATTCCTCAGCACCACATAAGAAAAAAGAAAAAAGCCAGAAGTGGCACTGTGGCTCAAGTGGTAGAGCATTAGCTTTGAGCTGAAGAGCTGAGGGACAGTGCCCAGGCCCAGAGTTCAGGCCCCATGACCGGACCCAAAAAAAAAAAAAAAGTGAAATCTGAATACTCTTAAATTCAAAAGTTAGTGTGTGTGCCAATAGTGGGGCTTGAACTGAGGGTATGGGTACTGTTCCTTACCCTTTTCACTCAAGGTTAGTGTCCTGCCACTTCCAGTTTTGGGATAGTTAATTGGAGATAAAAGTCTCACAACTTTCCTGACCAGGCTGGCTTTGAGCCACAGGTCTCATCCTTCTGAGTAGTTAGAATTAAAGGTGTGAGACACCGATACCTGGTCGAAAGTTTTTTTGAGTGCTAGCACATTGTCCAAAACATTTCAGGGTCTGGAACAGTTTGGATTTTGGACCTTTGTTTACAAGATTTCTAAACTGTATCAAAGGAAATAGTAAAATGTTCGTTTGCTTTGAACTGTGACATCTCCCTTGCACAAACCTAGAAGTAGAGAAAGCCCCTGGGAAGCTGGCAACATTGGTTGACTGGCTGGTTGAATGGCCTGTTCATTGGTTTTAGTACTAGGAAGTAAAGCCAAGGTTTCTTACATGCTAAGTATGCACTCTACACTGAGCTAACACCCTCAACCTATTTTTTTTTCTTCTTGTGCTGGTACTGGGGCTTGAATTCAGGATCTAGATGTTATTACTTAGCTTTTTCCCTTCAAGGTTAGTGCTCTACCACTTGAGATACACCTCTGTTTCTGGCTTTACTGTGGTTAATTAAGAATTAAACTCTAGGGGCTGGGAAGGTGGCTCAGTGGTAGAGCACTTGCCTTGTATGCATGAGGCCCTGGGTTCAATTCCTCAGCACCACATAAGCAAAAAGAAAAAAGCCAGAAGTGGCGCTGTGGCTCAAGTGGTAGAGCGCTAGCCTTGAGCTGAAGAGCTGAGGGACAGCGCTCAGGCCCAGAGTTCAGGCCCCATGACCAGACTCCCCCCCCAAAAAAAAAACTTGATGACAGACACCAGTGGTGCATGCCTGTAATCCTAGCTACTCAGAGGCTAAGATCTGAGGATCATTGTTCAAAGCCAGCCTAAACAGGAAAGTCTGGGAGACTTATTTCTACTAAACTACCAAAAAACCAGAGTGGTACTCAAGTGGTAGAGAACTAGCCTTGAGCAAAAAGAAGCTCAGGAACAGCACCTAGGCCCTGAGTTCAAGCCCCAAGTCTGGCACCAAAAAACAAAAAAAACAAAGTAAAGCAGCTGTCATATTTTAGTGAAATAGACTTCAAAGTACTCAGTATTATATACCCTGCCTGGTCTTCCACCAAAAGATCAGCGCCATTAAGCGATCATGTTCTTGCCATTACTTAGAAAAATTGTAGAAAGCAAAATTGTTTGTTTTGTTGAGATAGAGTATCACTGGAGCTCACTGGAGCTCAGGCTGGCCTCAAACTTGTGATCCTCTTGCTTTAGCCTCCCAAATGTTGAGGTTTCAGGCATACCCTACTATATACAACTGGAAAAAGCAAAGCTTTTTTTTTTTTTTTTGTGAGTCACGTAGCTTGAACTCTGGGCCTGGGCACACTGTCCCTCAGCTCTTGAGCTGAAGGCTAGCGCTCTACCACTTGAACCACAGTGCCACTTCCGGTTTTCTAGTGGTTAATTGGAGATAAGAGTCTCAGGCACTTTCCTGCCTGGGCTGGCTTTGAACCTCAATCCTCAGATCTCAGCCTACTGAGTAGTTAAGATTACAGGCATGAGCCGCCAGCACCTGGCTAAAAGCAAAACTTTTTATTGGAACAGCTCACAAATGTGTAAAGCCATTACCCAAATGTTCATTAGGGTAAATCTCACAGCTTTGTAGGCAAGACTACTACAGTGGCCCTATGTGGTTTCTTCCTCTGTGTGTCCTAAGCAACTACATTCTGCCCAACTATTAACATGGCAGGAGTCATAGCTTTAAGACAGTAAGTACAGGGCTGGGAAGGTGGCTCAGTGGTAGAGCGCTTGCCTTGCATGCATGAGGCCCTGGGTTCAATTCCTCAGCACCACATAAGCAAAAAGAAAAAAGCCAGAAGTGGCGCTGTGGCTCAAGTGGTAGAGCACTAGCCTTGAGCTGAAGAGCTGAGGGACAGCGCCCAGGCCCAGAGTTCAGGCCCCAAGACTGGACCCAAAAAAAAAAAAAAAAGACAGTAAGTACATTCTTTTTTTTTAGTCATGGGGTTCAAGCTCAGGGCCTGGGCACTCTTCCTGTGTTTTTTGGCTTAACATTAGCACTCTGTCACTGAGCCACAGCACTACTTTTGGTTTTCTGGTGGTTAGTTGGAGATAAGAGTCTCATGGACTTTATAGATGTGAGCCACGAGCACCCGGCGAGAACACATTATTGAGGAAATTGTAGAAGGGAGGCTCCTTCTTGGGGCCCCAAAAAGAGGAGGTTAGAAGAAAGATGAATAGAGTAGCTGACCTTTTTTGTGTGTGCATATGTGCCAATACTGGGGCTTGAACTCAAGGCCTGGGTGCTGGGTGTGCTTCAGATGGTAGAAAACCTGCCTAGTAAGCACAAGGCGGTGAGTTCAAACCCCAGCTGTGCTTCTAAAACAGTTATGTTCCTCAGCCCACAGTGCCCCGAAGGGCTGCTCAGATCCCTGTTTTGTCCAGGAGTTTAATACAGGAGTTGGTCAGGAGTTGAGCATTTGCTAATCAACACAAGCATCACTTGAAATGATTGACAACACTGATGTTTTTGCTTTGCAAATGTTTTGTTTTTATCCAGATTGAAAGAAGCTATAAGTATAAGTAAAGAACAAGAGGCAAAATACCAGGCCAGCCACCCAAACCTCAGAAAGCTGGATGATGTAGGTGAGTAGAGATCTGTGTACATGTGCACATTTGGATCCTGGAACAAGAAGTTTCTAGCTTTGTCCCTGAGGGATGTGGAGACAAAATACTCTCAGCACTGGTAGGCAGGAGCTAGATTGACAGGCCTTACAGACTGGTTGTGCTCTTGGGGAACCAAAGATTTGGGTTAAACTGGGTGCCAGGGGTTCAACCTATAAGGAGGTTGAGTTCTGAGAATCACAGTATGAAGTCAGCCTGGACAGACAAACTTAGTTAAGCAGCAAAAAGCAACTTAAAAAAGGCCTAAGTGGTAGTACACAAACCTTGAGGAAAGAAGCTAAAGGACAATGCCCAGGCCCTAATGTCAAACCCGAGTACCAGCACAAAATAATTGACAGGAAGGAAGGGAGGGAGTTATACTGGGATTCTTTGTTCCCTCTCTTCTTCCCTCTACCTTGGAGGGTGAATTAAGAAAGTGGGAGCCTTGATATTCAGAAGGCTGAGGTTTGAGGATTAAGATTTGGAGCCAGTCCAAGTAGACAAATCTAAGAGACTCTTAGCTCCAGTTAACCACCCAAAAAGAAGTGGAGGCACCACTCAAGTGGTAGAGTGCCAGCCCTGAGCTCAAGAGTGCAAGACCCTGAGTTCAAGCCCAAGAACCAGCATTTAAAAAAAAAAAAGAGCACAGGGAAACATGCTGGATTGCAACCAGCCCTGGCAGGAAAATCCATGAGACTCTTATTTCCAATTAACTACCAAAAAGGCTGAAGTGGAGCTGTGGCTCCAGTGAGACAGCACCCATATGCTGAGTTCAAGCCACAGGACCGCACCAAAAAAACCCAGAAAAGTTTAATAAAATTAATAGAACAAAAAGGAGAGATCTGATGGAGAAAGCACCTAGGCTCAGGACATACTAAATGGATACAGTTCATTATGAAAATGTAACCCATGGGAGAAAGCTAGAGAAAACTAAAATACAAAGGGCCCAAGAAACCATCCTCAATATCTCTCTGAAGAAGGAGAGAAAGAGCTTGCACACACATACACACCCCCACCAAAAAAAAAAAGAAAAAAAACCCATAACTTTAAGGTTGGAGTTTTCATTTATCCCTGAGCTCTTTTTTTTTTTTTTTAATTAGTCATTGGGCTTGAACTCTGAGCCTGGGCACTGCCCCTAAACTTTTTCACTCAAAGATAGTGCTTCATTTCTTTGAGCCACAGCACCACTTCCAGTTTTCTGGTGGTTGATTAGAGATAAGAGTCCCACGGACTTTCCTGCTCTGCCTAGCTTCAAACTGTGATCCTCAGATCTCAGCCTCCTGAGTAACTAGGATTACAGGTGTGAGCCATTGGCACCCAGCATCCCTAAGCTTTTCATTCAAAGCTAGTGCTCTTCCACTTAAGTCACAGCTCCAATCCTCACATCTCAGCCTCCTAAGTAGCTAGGATTTCAGATGTGAGCCACTAGTGCCCAATTTAACACCATTTAAACATCTTTGATTTTAAAAATGTGTTTCTGCAGAACTAGAGGGAATCAGGGGAAAACATACAACAGCAGGACCCATCAGCTGCACTGGACATTGACCAAAATGAACTAAGCAATTCAATGGCAGCGATGGGAAGGAGGGAACAAGTGGGAAAAGGGAACAGCTGATGCTATGCAAAACAAAAGAAATGTACATATCACCCAATGTGGAAGAAATAACTCATAAATGTTATAGACCATTATAGACAATTCGTCCTATGAAACTTAGAATGTGTTTGTGACTTTAACTAAGCTTCACTATCCCACAAGACTATAAAATTTGGGAAATTATGTAACCACTTAGCGTGAGCTGGTGACTCACACAGTAGCCTAGCTACTCAGGAGGCTAAGTTCTGAGGATTGCAGTTTAAAGCTAGCCCGAGCAGAAAAGTCTTGCTCTTATCTCCAATAAACCACCAGAAAACCAGAAGTGGCTCTGTGGCTCAGTGGTAGAGCACTTGCCTTGCATGCCTGAGGCCCTGGGTTCGATTCCTTAGCACCACATAAGCAAAAAGAAAAAAAAAGCCGGAAGTGGCGCTGTGGCTTAAGTGGTAGAGTGCTAGCCTTGAGCTGAAGAGCTGAGAGACAGTGCTCAGTCCCAGAATTCAAGCCCCATGATGGGGGCGGGGGGGGGGAATATATATATATATATATATATATACACACACACATATATATGCATGCACTTTTAGTCCCAGCTACTTAGGAAGTTGAAGCAAGACAACTGCTTAAGTGACATAGAAAGACTCTGTCTCAAGAAGAAAGGGAAGAGCCAGGTGCCAGTGGTTCATGCATGTAATCCTAGCTACCCAGGAGGCTGAGATCTGAGGATCTCGGTTCAAAGCCAGGCCAGGCAGGAACATCCATGAGACTCCTATTTCCAATTAGCCACCAGAAAACCAGAAGTGGTAGAGCACTAGCCTTGAGCTAAAGAGCTCAGGGACAGTACCCAGGCCCAGAGTTCAAGCAACCACCACTGAAAAAAAAAGAAGAGGAGGAGGAGGAGGAGGAGGAGGAGGAGGGAGAAAAAGGAAGGAGGGAGGGAGAAAGGGAAGAAGGAGCAAGATTGAGGGGATAGCTCCATGGTAGAGTATATGGCTAGTATGCACAAGGCCCTAAATTTAATCCCAGCACCAAAATTTAAAAAGTAAAAATAAGGGGCTGGGAACGTGGCTCAGTGGTAGAGCACTTGCCTTGCATGTCTGAGGCCCTGGGTTCTATTCCTCAGCACCACATAAGCAAAAAGAAAAAAGCTGGAAGTGGCGCTGTGGCTCAAGTGGTAGAGCGCTAGCCCTGAGCTGAAGAGCTGAGGGATAGCACCCAGGCCCAGAGTTCAGGCCCCACGACCGGACCAAAAAAAAAAAAAGTAAAAATAAGACAGTCTATTTCCTATGTCTTATCCATGGGTCTGTGTAGTTTTGCATTGATGCAGTTTTTCTATTGTATCATTATTTGTATGGGGCTATTTCTAGGATTTGTATGCCACATCTATCCAGGTGATAGATAGGCTAAGGTTCTTAGGTCTGCCAAGGGTTGAGGGAAAGACTGGAGTCTTTCTATGCTGCTCTCCTGGGAACATTTTCCTCCAACCCTTCAACTCAACCAGGATTCTTCCTCCCTGGTATGTTGTATATATTCCCACCCCTGACTCTTCATGCCCCAGAGCCAGCCACTTCATCTCTTCCACACGTTTTTCAGATTAAGATCAGCGTTGTGGCTGAGTACCTTTAGCTCATGCTAGTAATCCTAGCAACTCAGGAGGCTGAGATCAGAGGATTGATGTTCAAAGCCAGCCTGAGCAGAAAGATCTATGAAACTTTTTTTTTTTGGGGGGGGGGTCCTGGGACCTGAACTCTGGGCCTGGGCGCTGTCCCTCAGCTCTTCAGCTCAAGGCTAG